TTCATATTGACTTTGTAGTCTAGTTATTGTTATGGTTTGATTATACTTTTCTTTTTTGTATGACATCTCTTTTTGAGATGTTTTTTCCTTATTTTTCGATAGAACGAAAAACCTACTAAAGTAGTCATGCCAGAGGTGCAGAATCTGCCGTAAAAACGAAAAATTTCCCCAACTAAAAAAAGAAATAAAAAGTAAGGCTTTCGTGTATGGAATATGTGTCTATAAAGAAAGAACATTGAGACAGAGGTAATTAAGAGAAATTGCGTGATATAAAAAATAATCCGTTCTATTGATCATCGATTAACTCTGGTAATCTTGGTACTTGTTTTTTTCTCAAGCGATTTAGCACAATTGAGTCAGGTGATATAAGTTTCCATATTTGATATTGGTCGCTTTTTTTGGAAAATAACCAATTTTTTTCCTTCTGGCTGCTAAAGTTGTCATTCAGTGAATGTTTGATAAATGAATCAGCAAGATGTAAAGGGGGAGCATTCCAATGGAGCATTACTTCGCTATCTAAAGGATCATGATTTAACGAACGATTGCCATGTATATGTCCTTTTAAAATTGACGCTGCTGTTTCACATATCGCTTCGGTTCTAATTTTGAGTACCATTAATGAATGAAAATAGAGAAAGTCGATGATAGCGTCGGATAAATCTCTACTTGTATAAAATGTTTTCATCTCTTTTGATGTGATCAATTTTCCATTTGTTGTCAAAATGTCCATGGTTTCCTTGTCTTTAATTTCACGTAAAACTCGTCGCTTCCATTCGGAGTATTGATCCTGTATAGCATTTCCATCTATCTGTGTATGTTCTGAGTTCAACAGCGTATAATGAATAAGTCCTTGTAATTCAACTCTACCATAATCAATCATTGTTTGTTTACCTGTTGATATCACTTGGTCGTATAAACGTGAAGCGTCTAAACAATATTTCATTAATATAAAAATAGATGGTATCTCTCGAAACCGTGTTGCAATTGTTTCAACTAATTGTTGACATAATTCGATCAATTTTTTTCTTGTATGTGTAGTTGGATCTTCTATATCATAATCACCAGACCGTCTAATGATTGGACATTGTTTGAATTCACATTTCAATAGATCTTGATAATATTGTTCAATATATTTTGCCGATGGCATCACTCGAACTCGTGTTTCTTCGTCGTCTTCTTCTTGTATATCACAATCGTCATCGATTGTTGGTCCGAGTGAGTCAACTGATTCCTCTTCTTCACATTCTAATGTAATAAAATAAAAGTGTGTATTCAAAAGGTGACAATATTTTGAAATCTAAAACAAGAATTTACCTTCCAAACTATCCATTTCCTAATTTTTATTTAAGTCTAATTGTTCGAGTAATTTACTATATTCATTTAAACACTTTTGTAAGTATCGAATTGAATCATCATGTTCCCACGCGTATTTATTGACTTGTTGTACAGACATAGATGCTCGTACAAGAATATTGTAGATATCATTTAAACCAATAAGTTTACAAACAAAATCTACAGATTTGATATTGTCATGCTAAACCAGAAAAAGAAGTGATTCTGACGAAGTAAAAATTCTGATTACGGCTTACTTTGTAACTAAAATTATCTCTATCACGTGCTTCGTATTCTGCATGAATATTTCGTCTTGTTCTTGCACTTACATCTCCACCTGCTAATGAGTTCATTACACAATCTTGTTCCTGTAAATAATACAGAGTTGTCCAATCTCTTAATACTGTTTCGTATACACGAAGTTCGGATTGAACAAAACGGGTAACATGAAATTGTTTTGGCTGTAGTATTTGTTCTTCGAATAATTCGTCTGCTCCCAGTAGATGCTCATATTGCTTTCCATATGAATATTTTTTCATGAGGGTACCACATGTTTTAATGAACCTTTGTAACCAGGAAAATTTACTTTGTTTCTTTGCATCATTTATTGCTAATTCAAGTAAATGCACGCTATCCCATGATACTGTTAGCCATTTTTCTCGCATTCCTAGTTTTCGACATAGATGTTTTTCGATTTTCAAATTAATATAAGCACCATCGACGGCACAACCAGTTAATTGTTCTTTTAATGCTGTTCTTTTCAAACCAAATGATTCTAGTACTCGAACACAATTACTCCCTAAGTCTTCCCCCGTTAACTCTGTTTGACATAATGGAGATTGAAGATAAAGAGATGGTAACTGTCCGTCGATCATCACTATCACAATTGTCACCTGCATCGACCTTTTTAACACTGTAACTTTATCCAATGTTATGCCGAATGGTCGACAACGTTTTGTAACAGGATCAACTGAATGTAAATATTCAGTAATTTTGTTTTTTATCGTTATTGTCATCGACGTTCTTAGTTTCTCGAAAAACCACCGGCTGTGTCTAAACATACATGAAGACAATAAGGTCTTATATAACACTGACAGATTTATCTGTGATTAAATAGTTTTATCTACCTATAAGTTCCAACTGATGCTCCAGACAGTTCCAATAAGTTCAATGTTTCAACAAATTTTAGATCACCGAGACCACTTCGAATACAAAATAAAGCTGCTGTGCCAACGTTCATTCCAGCTTTCTCATTTTTTTCTCAAAATATCATCGAATAACTGCTTCTGCTTTTCATCTTCTTCTATACACCAGATGTGTAGTTTATTTAAATGATGTTGCTTTAAATTGTTCTTTAAATTTCGAAATCGTTGAGACTGAACTTGAGTCGCGTCTTGTTCAATATATTCAAATAAGCCAAACGAAGATTTCATTGTACTTAATAAGTGTTTTGGTGCGTGGTTTTTAAACTTTAAACATGGTGTACACGTAATAGTATTCAATTGATTATTTATTTCCATATGTTTCAATGGATATAACTCACTCGAAAATTTGATATTTTCGAATAGTTGTTCAATATCATCGGATTGCGGAATTGACGATACATGCTTTTTTGCTTTGTCCGAATTCATTTGTTCAATCGTCTCTGTTAATTTTTCAGTTGCTTTGACATCGATAGTAATTGATCATGAACGGAATAGATCGTTGAACTCGTCGAAACAACACCAGAAGGCATGGATGAGGGATCCGAATGGATGAGTGATGTAGGTGCGGGTGAAATGATGATAGAAGATTGTTGTTCTTGTTCCTGCTCGTCGTTACTGATGACGTCTGTAACTGTTTCTGTTTCTTGAGTGCTTTTTGAAAAAAATTTTCCATATTGTTTTCCGCAAACTTCAGTTTGAACGTTTTACCAGAGTGATTTCTTGTACAATGGTTCTTCGCTTTATCTTTACGACCATTCCAATCACAATAAAACCATGCTACTTGTTGTTTACTGGGAAACATTTCCACTGCTCAAATCGTAAAAATTTAGTGATCCAAAGTCAAAGTATAAATACGGAGCATGACAGAATAGTAATATGACAAGAAAGAAAGGTAGAAACAACACCAAGAAGCAAAGTAGTCACTATAAATAAATAAGTAACAAGCAAATCAGAGGGAGTATTTAGTAGCCTTGTATGATGAGTCTCTCGGCATTATATCATCAACACCAGAACAAAACAACGAATGAAGCATCATACTAGAACAACAGAGAGGGAGATATATCTCGTATCTCGTGCACATATCATTAACATGCACTCATGCGCACGGAATAATAGAACAGAACACATGAAGCTAAAAAGAAAAAAAAACATGAAGAAAGACAAATAAACCAACAAGAGAGATAGTTAATAGCACAGAGGCAAGAAACTTGTGGATAGAGCCATGACACATGGTAATTTTCTTCACATGGAAAAAGTTACTTTTTGAAACAACCTTGCAGTTAACAAATTTCCAAAAATTTCCCCAGATCCAAAAAATTTCCCCAAACGAGCGTTTGCGCACACGGGTAGATTCTGCACCTCTGCTTTGCTGTTACATGATCTTAATGATTACTTTCAGGTAATTCATTCTATAAAATGCAATTTAATTGACATAAACCACATGAATCTGATGGTCAACAGTCAATGGAGAAATGACTGATTTAAGTGACATTTTTTACTTTACAATCATGAATATCATATGAAAATTGACTAAGTCATCTTAATATTGCGTTATTTGAAAGTATAGTATGTCTGCGACTCGATGGAATTATTTAATGAAGTGAATTTTATATTAAAATTATATTTTGAGAATTATGATAGATAGTGATAGTTTATGTAGCATCGGAACGATGTTTTTTTTATTGCGCTCACAGGTGAAGACCATTCTATGTATTTGTTTCTATGAAAAGTTATGTTAGTGGATTTCTGCTCCTAGATGAATATGTACGGTTTTTCTGTAACAGCATTTTGGTCTAGAACAGTTGTTTAAGAAAAATTTTACCAAAGCCTTTATTTCTCTTTTGATAACCAGCTAGAAGAATATTCATTGCTGGAACACTTCATATCATGCTTATTTAGCTATACTATACAGCTATATTTTATGCACAAATTGTAATGTCTTTGAAGAGAACAAATCATCGGTTAAAAAGGAAAAGAAAAAAGTAGCATTCACTGAATGTGTGATTATATAAAGATAATTTTCGTCATAGATATTGATCAAATATAAGATTATTAAATTTTTTTCTTTATCGGTTTTATTAATGCAGCTTTCATACTTGCGATTTCTTGTATGAAATTAAAGTACATGATTCGATTGTCGTATATAATTATAGAGAACACTGCAGGAACATTTCTGTAGGTCTTTATTATTAATTAGTTTTGTTAATATAAATTCATTTATGAAGTACTATTGAATTCATCAGCAACTAGATAGGAATTAGTATTTCCAGTTGAAAACGCCCTTGCTCGAAATTTTCATAAGCTATCAAGATGTACTTTGAAATTACTTTGAATTTGATTGCAACAAAAGAGAAATCGAGAACAATTAATCGTAACTTCCGCCTAATTCTATGATATATAGTAATGATTTCAATATATGTTGTACACTTTTTGCAACTTTTCTATTCATTCTTATTCATAGTAGTAGTAAGGTTACAGAAAGAGATATATTGATAATTATTGCGATAATGAACAAATGTGTATAGTATTGTGCTGATTCTATTTAAAATATAAAGAAGTCTCTAGTTACATGATTATAGATAAAATCCTTAGACATTTTTCAGAACAAAACTTATTTATCTTGCTGCTGTTAGTCACACGAAATAGACTTCGATATAGGTGTGATGGTACTGAGTAATAAAGAACTGATTGATCATAAATACAATTAATATCAAACTAATATCTTGAATCATTTGATAATTGTAAAAATATACTTTGATACATGATTATGATTTTCATTGTACATCAAACAGTGAGATATGTAAAATAATAAATCTATATTTCCATAGATATAGATATGAAGTGAATCAGCAACTCTTTAGTATGAAATAGACGCATAAAAGATAAATTAGCTCTCGCTTGTTCAAAATTATTACGAGCTACTTGCATTAATTAAAACTATTTGATTTCTGAAATTTAGTGAAGCATGTGAGCGCACAAATCCTATTATTTGACAATTTTTGCGCATATTTGCTGATCTATCTTTCAATTAGAAATAGAAGAGAACTTCTCTATAACACTCAATTTACCAGCTCTTTACAAGTTGATGAGGACTAACTGAATGAAAATTCTTCCCCATGAACAAAACTTCGATCGACTTTTTAGTATTATTTTAGCAGTGAAAAGAGAATTGAGATTTACACAACATATTTTTCTGAAAACCCACAGTCATTTATACCATTTTGTTCAAAAAATAAAACACAATTTCTATGAAATAGAATATATATATATATTAGCTGTAAAATCATATGAATGATATCATAGGAATTATTGCTTTTTATCTATTACGATCATTTCTAAAGTTTACAAAGTATTATATACAGTAGAATTTCAAAGCATAGTGAAAATTAGATGGAGTTTTAATAATGGTGAACTCTAAAATTGTCAAAATTTCAGATTAAACGATTCGTATTTACTGATTGGGGTAAAATATCCTAAAATTATTCATCATTTTCTGATCAAGACTACTTGTAACGCATCATTTGTTTTTGTTTTTTGCCTTCTTCTCATGTCAAATCAAAATTAAAACTTACAACAGAAATACTCATACATATTTAAACGGTTTACGACTACTGAAAACGTCAAACTAAAAATCGATGCTACACTTTTAAACATTTTTATATATTATTATTATTCGCTTGTGGAATTTTATACGTCTAGCTTTACTTATTAGCTAAGTAATAATGAAATAAGAAATAAAGCAGCTCGTGTATTCTCGAGTAGCACTTCTTAAGATCTCTCTTATGGAAGTTTCCAACACCTTACTAAACTAAATACGATATGCTTATATTTGCAAAGAAAGACATCTTCTGTTTAATGGTGAATACATATTATCAAATTATATTGTGCACATCTCGTATTTTATTAGACATTGCTGCCTATTAACATCTTAGCTATACACCGTAGAAATTGATAATACCTGCATGGAGATAATAGAGAAGAAACTTCAAAGATAAACACAGAGCAATTCTTTATAAACTATTCAATAGTTATTTGAATTGTCTTATGAAATAAATTTTTCTCTGCTAATATGGTTTAAAACTTTATGAATTTTCTAAACTTAACACTGAAAATGTGTCACAATTCTTAACAATTAAAATTAATAAATCCCATTTTTGAAGTGCATTAATTTCGTATAGAGTTTGTTGTTGATCTTATTTCAAATAAGTGTTACTCCCTTCCTGGAACAACATTGTTATTCTTCATGTATTCAGTGAAGAAGAATTTTTATGATTTGCTTTATTTCCAGAGAGCTTCTAGACAGTAGATTCTAGGCTGTGTTGACAAAAAAAAGAGGAGAACAATAACATAGAGAGAGAGAAAACTCAAAGAAGAGAATAAAAAAAACCAACGTGGATTGTTTATTGAGGTGTGCGTCTAGAAGAGACAAAAACGAGAAGAAAGAAAGAAAGAAATACGTATATATAAATATTATTCATCTCTCTAACACATGATTACTTCAAAATTACTTTATTGTTTTTGTTTCTTTTCTTTGTTCATACCAATTTTTTCGTTTCATGTTTCTCTTCTTTCTTTCTTTATTACTTTTTCTTTTTTTTCTCATTCAATTTTATATTCAATGCACAATTAGTACGTAATGTGATAGAACTATTGCTCATAGCTCCTTTAGTCTGTATGTTATCAATATTTTTTAACGCAAAGGTTGTACACACTTTTACATAAGAAACACTCTCTAATGCTACCTATTCACATAGTGTAAATCATAAAATTAATCATGTCTTTTCGTCAACAAAAAAAAACCCTTTACTTTT